ATTGAACTGTGTCTGAAACTGAAGGCAGCTGCCTCGATGCCTTGTTACTCATGCTGTCTTGTAAGAGACGAGTCAGTCGTTAAAAGACAATATTGTGATGAATGTCCTGTGACTCACACCCTATGAAAGCAACAGCATGTCACCAAGCTAAAAAGATATTGACAGCACAGTACTAGCAGTTAGCATTCAGCTATGTTAACTGTCTCTTCACTCACTTAAAAAGGCAAGCAAGATGCACTTTTTATTAACAAAATGCAGCGTTTTGTGGAAAGTAACAAATAAACATTAGCTTAGACTAGCTACATCTAGAGAAAACTAACAGACACTTGTGGCAGAACATAAAAAACTTACATAATATTTCAGAAAGGCAGCTGCTGTTTAGCTAAGTTTGTTTATACGAGCTGAAGCTGCATTGAAAGACAGGCTTTTTAACTCTGTATACTGTGTAGTTATTAAACATTCAAACGGCTAAGTTAAGTACTTTGAAAAAAACTTAAAAATAGTTGTTGTTTAATTATATTAAAAAGACTATAAACACTTTATTTACAAAAGGATGAAAGCAAATATTCAACTCAGCCATGACCGGTGCCTTCCTGCCTCAGAAGACTGTCAGAGTTGCTAACTCTCTCACCTCATTCAGCTAATCAGGGACTTCTGAAGTTCTGTGGAAAATATTAATTTCTTACCTTGATTCTCCTTTTTCAGGTCCTCCACTTGGTTTCTGAATGAGGCTTTCAAGTCTTTCAGTTCCTCTGAGTAACAAAATGTACCACATAACTATTAGTTATTGTGATGTGGTAAGGCGAGGCCTACCCCATCACCAGTGAATACCATCCCTTGCACTATAAAATATGTGAGTGTATAGATGTACGTACCTGTGTCTGCCTGTGAAAGGAGAATTAGCGAAAGGGGGACAGAGAGCAGGGAGACCTACATACCTTATCCTTATTGGGAGGATCCACCAAAGGGGAGAAAGGGGAGGAGTCTATTCCTCATCTAATATCCTGTGGGAGGAAAAAGAAAATAATTAAGTTGTTATAAGTTAATGGGCCCAGACAATGTATATACCGGTAACAAACTGTTTAACCTAGGTTGTTTGTATACAGCGCTGTCATTTGTTTCATGTGTACACCACACTGTTGTAACCTCATGGTGGGGAATGGGATCTCCGAAGGCGGGCTTTGGACTTAAAACCCGAGGGTTCCTAAGAGAGAAGGTTTCTTCTCCCCATGACTCTGTTTGACCGAAAAACACTAGCAGCTTGTGGTGTTTCTTAAGTAATGGTGTGGGGGAAGTTATAAAGGGAGTTGGGACCCAGCCTCGCGGCTGCTCCCCATACCATGACTAAGCCTGACGCTTAGTATATATTGTAAATACTTTACTTTCCGTTTATTTTTCGTTTTGTACAGTTTTTGTTTCCTGTTTTCACATCGTGTAAATAAACTGCTTGTTCGTGCACTCTACTTTTAGTCTTGCTCATCCTATTGGTTGGCTCACCCTTGCAGACCTTACCAGTAAGCCACACGTAAAACCCAAAATCCTCTTCACGGGGTTTAACATCTTCACAGTTATTAATGCCTCAACTGAATGCACACTTGTTTTCATAAAGTGAAAAGTGGACTAAAAATTGGTTGGATGAAAATTGTTGTCTACAAGTATCTACAAGTATCAAACAGTGACAAAGATTCTTGATTGGATTTACTTAGCCACAGTAGAACCTTTTTGTTGTTCAACTATTCTTTTGTTTCTTTGGCCTTAGGCTTGGGATCACTGTCCTGCTGAACGTTTCTCCCAATCTTTAATTTTTTTAGCAGACTGTAGCTGGTTGTCTTGCAGTATCTCCCCATATTTTGCACCATCCGTCCTTTAGTTTAACAAGCTGTCCAGTCCCCGCTGAAGAACAGCATCTCCACAACATAATGCTCCCGCCCCCATACTTCACTGTCAGGATTGTGTTTGTTGAGGAATGGACAGCATTAGGTTTACGCCTCACATAGCATTTTGAATTTTCTCCTCTGAGCACAAAACCTTGTCCCACATTTCAGCTGGGGCACTCAGATGGTTCAGATTCACAGTCTGATCAATCGTACTTGTATTAAGGGGGTCTTTTATCCAGAATTGGTGAATTTTTTAATGATTCACGGGTAAGCCAATTAGATCAATATATTTTATGTCCAGAAAACAGGGATTTAATACTTTTAATATATATATTATATATATATATTTAATATCTATATAATTTTAACATTAATTTAAAATTCATTTAGAAGGTCAGTCTCTAAAAATAAAATATGACAGCACAAAATATAAAAGTGTCATTTATAATCCAAATGAAACTGAAGACTTTTAAGGGGGTTGAATACTTTAGCAAGGCGCTGTATGTAATGTTGATAATGATAAATGTGGTAAATCTGAAAAAGTTTTCTTTGGGAACTGTTTTTGCCTCAATGCACCCTCCATGCATAACTCTGCCATGAACAGTTTTAAAAAGTTTCAGTTTAAGGCCAAAATATTTCATTTTCTATCTCAAAACATAAAATGTAAAAACAATGCCTTGTAAAATAATATCTCAAACATCAGGCAGTGAATTCATAACCATTTCATGTAATAACTTTCTTAGAGCTTTTAGAGGTGGACGTCTGGTTCCCATCACCACCACTGTGAACAGTTCTGACTCAGTCAGTTTATCTAGAAAGGAGCGTTTCACACCAAACCACTCTGAACGACTTTTTTTTTAATATCTTGATAATTCAACAAAACTAATATTTTGAAAAAAAAAAATCAATGGGATGGATGATGTAGGATGAAGTACAATATTAGTTGACAGTCACACCTTACTTGGGTGGATTCTTGTGAGAAATATGAGTGGGCTTTTTGTTCTTTTGTTTGTTCTGGTTTGTTTAAGACATATGTTTGAAAATAGCATACATTTTACACATCAAATTAACCTAAAGAAAATTGAGCAGAGCATTACTTTAGACAGGCCATCAAGTCAAAGCTAGGCCACAATCCTAAATCACCAGCTGTTACTAGCTGATTACCTGCACACACACAATAGGCTAATTCATCATGGCACCTATTCAAGCTGCTTTAGCCTGGCCATTCCCACTGCTTCCTCTGCAAGCCACTTTGCAAGCCTCCCGTATGAGATTCGCTGATATATGGCCAAAAGAACTATCATCCTTGCTAGCTAATGTTTCTTCACTGCTTTAAAGGAATTATACACAATTGTTTTATCTTATCTTCTGTGGGGTAAACAGAGACAGTTTTCATGCGTCTTTCTCTCTTGTTTTAATTTCACTTCTGTTTTTTTATATTTTACATTCTTTATGGAAAAAATGAAAAATCTTTATTAGGCATTTGCTTGCATTGATCTTAATACTCAAGGATCAAGCAAGTCAGAAAAAGTTCTATGTTCTTTAAGGGTTCTTTGGTAAAGTAAATGGTTCTCTATAGAACCTTGAAAACTAAGGACGCTTTGCATGCTTAAACGGTTCTTTGCATGGTTAAATGATTCTTTAGACTGATAGAGAATGTGTTGCTTATGGATCTGTATAGAACCTCTTTAAAATGGTTCTATATAACACCAAAAAGGGTTCTGCTACGGTTACTTTGTCAAGCTTGTAAAAAAAAAAGAACTACTTATATATATATATATATATATATATATATATATATATATATATATATATATATATATATATATATATATAACCTTATACAACACATTCTCCATCAATCTGAAGAACTTTCATTATGCAAAGAACCTTTTAATCATGCAACTGTTTCTTTGAGTGTTCATGGTTCCATTTAGAACCATTTTCTTTACTAAAGAACCCTTAAAGAACCATTTTTTTAAAGAGTATACCTGATGATCATATAGATTATTTATGCAAAGATATTAGAGACTGGGGTGTCAGACCACAGGTAATGGTGGACCTAACTAACCAGTGCCCTGCCTGGATAGGGGGCCTCCAAAAGTCTTGCAAATAAATTGATTTTAGGATCAGGTTTTGGGTTGAGGTTAAGGTCAGGTTTAGGATTAGGGCCAGGGTGAGGGTTGGGATTAGGTTTTGGGTTGAGGTTAAGGTCAGGTTTAGGATTAGGGCCAGGGTGAGGGTTGGGATTAGGTTTTGGGTTGAGGTTAAGGTCAGGTTTAGGATTAGGGCCAGGGTGAGGGTTAGGTTTTGGATGAGGTTGGTAAGGTCAGGTTTTGCATAATGGAAGTAACATATTAACAACACATCTACTTAATGTAAGTAATGTATAAACAGAACATCTAAAAGATGTTTACTTCAGTGTATTCAGATCCTTCACTACTGCTACTTCACTGATATGTTGTTGATGATCTGTTAAGAGTTTATTAATCATCTACTAAGAACCACTCCAAAAAAAGTGTTACCGAAATAATATACTAACTTTCCTAATAAATTATGCTCATCTGGCTGATTGCTAATCCGCCCCCCCCACCTCAAAATCAAAAGTGGTTTCATTCTCCAGTATGCAGATGTATTGTCAGTGGCTTTCAACCAAAACAAAATGAAACTAAAACCAAAATCAGCATGTCAGAAGCACAAGGAGTGCAGAAAGACAGAGAATGCTAAAAAATGCAGACAACAGTACATATGTTGCAGGAAAGTAAGCTAGCTTGCTAACTAGCGATTAGCTAGTAAGCAGTCATTCATAACAAGCACAAGCTAATACAGAAGGAGCATTGATTCAGTGCAGCTAGTTTACATATTATTAATAGTTAATGTGACACAGTGTTTTGTGATCATAACCCAGTGAAGTTCAGCCTCAGCCCAGCAGCTCACCTGTAATACACCAGCTCCAGAAGTCACTGAGAGAGGGCAGCACCTCTAACTTTACTATTGCAGCTGAAGACTTGAGACCAGGTGAGCTCACTATAAATATGATGTAAATGTGATAGTAAATATACTAACTTTTTTGTTTTTCTCTTCTGAATTTCCCTCTAATCACACTGAACAGACATAGACAAGTTTTGTTACCACTAGGTTTTTATTGCAACACCAACAAATCACATTCAGTATAACAGGTTACTGATTACACTTTCAATGTTTAATCCGTTTTACAGTAGAAATAAATGGAGCTCATTATGCTGCTAGTGAACTATGCTGCTGACACAGCTGCCTAAAAACCATAGAAACGGACCTTAAACAGAAGTGAGGACCCTGTTGGGGTTCATCCTAAAGTTAGGACAGGATTTAGGAGGTTTAGTCTAGTTAGGATGTTTGTGTGATGCTGTTTTCTTATCTGGAGTTCATGATGAGATTATGAAGGTAGGAACTGTTATTCTGGAATAGATACTGAACTAAATTCAGTCCAGACTGAAGTCGCCATGGAGACCAAGCAGCTCAGATTTCAGACTTAAGAAGTTTCTGTAATACAGGCCCAGGTGTGCAACCTTTACATTAGGAAGAGCAGGTGACCACTGAAGGTGGTGACGCGATAAACATCGCCGTATACACTTCTTCTAGATGGCATTTTCAAGGTGATTATATCTCCCACCTCCAACAACAGTAAGACTCCATTCGAGGTGCTAACACGATGATCGGGCTGATGGCCATGTGCAACAATAATGAACATGCTGTTCTTGAGCAAGTCTACTGCTGTTGGCGTTGAATCACTTCCTTCTCCGTGGATGTGAAGATCAAACTGGTAGACACCTCTAACTGGTGCAGTAAAGGCTCCTGTAAAAGTTTAGTGATGTGAAAATAGGAAGTGTTGTCTCTCTGGTCATAATTAAAAACGCATTTTTAAAGGTTTGTTTGCATTTGAATGAATACCTGTTACTGGGTTATAAGCATTGCCAATATTTGTGATGATGTTGTCAAACACCAGCCTAATTTCAACGTCAAAAGGCCCAATTTTGCCCCCTCCAGGTCTATGAAAAGAAGCTGAAAATGCCACTTTCATTCCTGTAAGTAGATTCAGTAAAGACAGTTTAGCAATAAAAAAGCAAAATTTAAATTGATTTCAATGTACATTGCTTCTTATGATTCATTATTTCAATTTGTCTGTCAATTTAAACTACAGACTGGTGGACACAAGACGCAGAAGCAAATTTAGTTAATATAACAGAGATGCTGACTTTGATTTGTGGTCATCAGTTCCTCTGCTTGAGTCAGAAATCTTAAGGTTTTTGAACAAATCATTAGCAAAGATGATATTTTTACCTTAAACCTCATTTTTGTCACTCAGAATACAGTTTTTTTTTTTTTACCTTCTTTTAGTTGTTTCTGCTCCTCAAGTGTTTTCTTCAGCTCCTCCACTTGACTTTCACTGACACTCAGTCTGGTTTCCATGCTTTTCATTTCAGTCTTTGTGTTTCTCAGCTCATCTTTCAGCTCTGCCAGCGCACTAAGAACAGACTGGGTGTCTTGCTGGTCATCTTGTTGGCTAGGGATTGTAACAAAAAATTGAGTTTGCCCATTGGACAAGTAACAGCACAGCAACAGCAGCACAAAAGCAGAGCTCTTCATCCTTGAACTGGCTCTTCTCTCTCCTGTATTTCAGAATTTAGATTTCTCTGAACATTTATTGCAGACTTTGTTAATCATTATCAGATATCGTCTGTTAATGATTAAAGAGGACCAAACTAATTGTTCAGAGAAATCTAAATTCTGACAAACAAAGAGAGAGAAGAGCCAGTTCAAGGATGAAGAGTTCAATTTTTGTAATGTCCTTGTATACTTTGTATGGTCTTCGTTAATCATTACCAGATGATATCTGATAAGCTTGTTTCGGCAATTAAAAGACTATGAAATGAACTTGCCTGTTTACAGTACGAAAGCCATGAAAAAATGTCATCCTGTATGAAAATGAAAAAGCAAAAAATTATTTCATATGCTAACCCATTGGCACAGGCAGAAATAACTGTAAGCCCTGTAAAAAAGTGGCTACCTTGTGGTGGTGGGTAGTTACATTTTCCAAAAGCCCATAATGGCAACACATCAAGCTACAACCCCACAGCAGAGCAGTCATCATTACACCTATTTAAGCATGTCTACCAAGAACAACCAGACTATCACGAATGCAAGATTTACAACCCCATTTCCAAAAAAGTTGTAAATAAAAACAAAATGCAATGATGTGCAAATCATTTAAACCCTATATTTCATTGAAAATAGTACAAAGACAACATATGAGAAATCTTATTGTTTTTGGAAATAATATGCGCCTATTTTGAATTTGATATCAACATCATGTTCCAAAAAATTTGGGACGGGGGCAACAAAAGACTGGTAAAGTTGTGTAATGCTGAAAAAAAAACGCTGGTGGTTAATTGAGAACAGGTCAGTAACATAATTGGGTAAAAAAAGAGCATCTCAGAGAGGCGGAGTCTTTCAGAAGTAAAGATGAGGAGGGGGTCACCACTCTGTGAAAGACTGCACCATCAAATAGTGCAACAATTCAAGAATAACGTTTCTCAACATAAAATAGCAAACAACTTTTGCTTTTCATCATCTACGGTACATAATATCATTAAAAGATTCAGAGAATCTGGAGAAATCTCTGAAACAAGTAAAGACTGAAAACCAGTATTTGCTGGCTGTGATCTTTGGCCCTGTTAAAAACAGACATGATGCTGTAGAGGAAATCACTGCATGGGCTAAGAAACACTTCTGAAAACCACTGTTTGTGAAAACAGTTCATCACTGCATCCACAAATGCAAGTTAAAACTATAAAACACAAAGAAGAAACCATTTATAAACAGGACCTAGAAACACTGCCACCTTCTCTGGGCCTGAGCTCATTTAAATGGACTGGGATGAAGTGGAAAAGTGTCCTGTGGTCCGACGAATCAACATTTGAAATTCTTCTTGTCCTCCGGGCTAAAGACCACTCAGCTTGTTATCAGTGCACAGTTCTAAAGCCAGTATTCATGATAGTATAGAGGTGCATTAGTGCACATGGCATGGGTGACGTGCACATCTGTGAAGGCACCATTAATGCTGAATGATATATATATGCTTTGGCAATATATGCTGCCATCCAGACGACGTCTTTTTCAGGGAAGGCCTTGATTATCTCAGCAAGACGATGTCAAACCACGTTCTGCATGTATTACAGCAGCATGGCTCCATATTGAAAGAGTCCGGGTGCTAAACTGGCCTGCCTGCAGTCCAGACCTGTCACCACTGATAACATTTGGCATTTGGCATAAAATGAAAAATACGACCCCAATCTGATGAGCAGCTAAAAATCTATGTTAAGCAAGAATGAGAAAACGTTTCACTTTCAAAACTACAGCAATTGGTCTCCTCAATTCCCAAACACTTACAGAGTGTTGTGAAAAGTAGAGGTGATGAAACACAGTAGTAAACATGCCCCTGTCCCAACTTCTTTGGAATGTTTCAGTTTCAACATTTGATATGTTGTCTTTGTAGTATTTTCCTTTAAAAATATGGTTTATATGATTTGCATATCATTACTTTTTTTTGTTTACATTCTGCACAGTGTCCCAACATTTTTGGAAATGGGGTTGTACATAAACCCAACCAACACTGCAACATCATTCACTATAAAGCACATGTCCGCTTGCCACTTGCCCAGTGAAGATGACCTAACTGAGTTCTAAATGGACAGCTGGGATGACAAGAAAAAACAGCTCAGCAAACTTAAAACCTAAACAATCAAGAATCCTTGGCTAAAGCATGTTGCCATGACAGGCACAAAAAATTTTTATGTAGCATTTATATCTTACCTCTGATGATGTTATGCGTGGAAGTAGACATTTGCTTTGATATTATTACAATAATAGTGTGATTATTATTACAATTGCCATATGTCGGCTCTACCTCACAAGTGCCATAGCAGCTGCGTTGGGCCCCATGGCCACAGGGGTCCCCCTATTCAGGTTAATTATATCTCAAAAAATAATGCATGCACCTAAAACTCACACAGAGAAATCAGCAGAGAAACAGCTCTCATCCTTAACACGACTCCTTTGACATCCAGTGTTTAAGGGGTAGACTCTCCTGATACATTTGTGTATGTTTCCAGGATATATAAACTGAATGGCCAACATAGCAGGCAGGTCACATACAGCCACATGTTTCCGGCACATAGTAGGTACTTAACACTGCATTATTACCCCAAGGCACAACCCTGCTGCACCTCTTAACGTCCATTACAATAACTATTTATACATTTTACTGTCCTTCAGCCTGGCTGCAATGTCAAGCCTCACTGCAGTGCCTTGACTGCTGTCTTCTCATTGTCAGTCTTTGTTGTGCTGCTATTCCTTGCAGTCCTCAGCCAGGCTCAGTTCTCCACAGTTTCAACGCTGAGGTCGCCATTCCGGTTAGCGGAGATCCCACCTCTGACACCAGTGTGGCATCAGCATAGAGTAAGAGGACGCAGGAAACAGCACTTCAAATGAATGACAGCAGGTAGGTTATCAACAGCCACACATTCCATGCTGATGGTAGTCATTAATGCTGCACCACTGCCCCCACCACCCAGCACATGTAACACATTGCTGCACCAGTAACTTCCACAACAACAGCTTATTTACATTATTTAAGTCTATATATATATATATATATATATATATATTAGGGGTGGGAATCTCTAGGCACCTCACGATTTGATTCGATTACGATTCAGAGGCTGCGATGCGATTATAAAACGATTATCGATGCATCTTTTTTTTGATACATGATTTCTATTTTCTTACTGTCTGAGGACTTGGTACTTTTAAAGCTAAGTATCTGTATTGATCCATAATGCATTTATGTCCAATATCTTTTATTAATAAAACAAATGGAAGTGATGTGGTAAGTGAACTGGAAGGCTCTCATTCACTGCTCGTTTGGAGACGCTGCTGCCACTCATCTGCGATAAAATGCGCTGTTGGGGTGAAATAATGGATGACCACGCACTACGTAACAGCCGTCCTACCCGTTTTCTTCAGTGATTTTATAACTTCGGTTTTGGTCTCGTGGTAGACACGGAGTTGGCGGGGGGGAGGGGGGGCGTGTGCAACATAGCGAGAAAGCCCTGTTTCGCAACGACTGAGATTGAAAAAGGAAAAGAGAAAGACAGACGAACATTTGGAGACAAACGGACTTATTCGCATTTATAAGCAACGTAGTTGGTTTCCTGATACGTTAAATCTGCAACGAGAGACTGTCAAACACTAAAAAGTTGCGAAGATGAACTCGCTTCTCTCTCTAATTTTCCCGTTCCACCTTAAATGGCGCCTCAGTCAGAATTTAAGGTGGAACGGGAAAGTTCAGCAAGAAGCTGGAGAATGAGAAGCGACTTCAGCCTCGTAAAACAACCGAAACCTGAAAGACATTTTACAAGAAACTATTCAACTTTTGAGGAAAAGTTTTCTGGCGGAGATGGAAGAAAAGCGGCTGTAGCTGAGCTGAAGCTCAAAGCAGAGCAGAGCAGGTCCGCGTTTTCGTTTATATTGTTTAGTCTATACTAGGACATTAACACACACTGAGACATACTGAACATTAAATGTTGTGGCTCCCAAGCTAGTCTGATTTTTGTTGAAAAGCAAAATGGCTCTTCTTATCATTTGTGCTGTGACTCCTGACCTAACCTGGCTTTAATGCAGAGGGAGCCGGTCGGATTTCTCGCTCATCCAGCTGTGTTTTTGTTATGTGCCGCCACAGACTGTCCGGGCGCTGCACTTCCCCACTTACAAGTTCCGCCCTTTGCGTTCCGTCAACATTACGTTGTAAATTAAATATTTAGAAAATCGATTTTTGAGGTTGAATGAATCGATTCAGAATCGTGCACGCCCGCATCGCAATGCATCTAAGAATCGATTTTTTCCCGCACCCCTAATATATATATACATATAGCTTAAGAACTTTATTTTAAAAACTTTTCATTTTTAAAAGTATAAGGAGGTATTCCATTTAAAAGTCAAAGAAAACAACTGCAACTGTAAATTTTACAGCAAATAGGTTTTATGTATTAGCCTGTTAGCGTCACTGGTACTGAGTGCAGATTGGTTGGCGAGTCACTTAGCTCTGTCAGGGTCTCAGAACAAATCAGACGCTCTCAGATAAAAACCCAAGGTAAAGCTTCACTTGAGGCTGAGGGATTCACACAACTATAGGAAAACAGGAAATTCAGAACAGGAGAATCGTAAAGAGAGCTCCAAAACACAGTCCGGGGTTAGACACGGAAATCCAAAAACAACAACGACAGTGCAAAAGGGAAAAGGCATAAAACAGGTCAGGAAAGGGCAAAAAGGTCATGCACGAGTAAACAGCAATACAAAGAATGCTTGGTATGCAACAGGAGGTGATGGGAATACTTTGAAATTGACTAAACTAAGGCCCGGGCTTATGCACTACCTAACTGATTACATGTAGTGACAAACAGGTGAGACATTAGAACTCAGGGGATGGAGATGAAGATGGAGACATAGGTTCCCCCAGAGACTCATGGAAGTTGTAGTGCTCTTCACAGTCCATAGAATGCTGGTTGCAAGTAACAGACAGAAGGCGTGTCCTTGGCAGTAGGTCTGACAAGCTCACTGGCTGAGAATGAGTAG